AAATCAAAGTAAACTTTTACTTCAGCCATTTTTAAAGGGTGGGGTTGGGAGGTTTTGTTTTGGTGCTTTGTACTGAGAGAGACTTCTAGTGGAAAAAACAGAAAGCTTCGAAACAGGTTTTTTTCCAGCCAAATGAAGGTTTTTAAAATGGGAATTTCATGTAGTTGCCTAAAATGGCTCTGCTTAGCCATTAATGCAATTTGCATTTGCACAAGACCACTGACACATTGCTAGACTAGACTGTTTCAGGAAGAGCAAACCACTCTGCCTCTACTCATGGTATTGCTAAAACGAAGAGCATGGCAGTAACATGGGAATGCACTCAAAATAGACAAATATGACACTTCAAAAATGCTGGTTGAACGAACTGTGTTGGAAAAATGAGAAGAGCTCCAACTTCACCCCTTGGTGAAGCCATCAGTGGAACATCTTCACCTACGCTCAAGAGTAACAGCAGGCCAAACTGCGCACTCAAACAGATCGCTTCAGTTCTGAAGTTCTAGTCTGCCTACACGAAAGAACTCTCCGTACACAGCAACACAGAAGACAGCCTCTTCTCCCCATCCATCTCCTTGCTGAAAATCCAGCCCTTCGTCCCTCCTGCTCCATTGAGGGGCTGGCAGGAGGACCCTGCTTGCAGCTTTTCTGGACTGAACACCAGCCACCGCTTTCAGTGTATTCCGATTTCACCAACTAGGGGCTGTTTAAATCTCTCAAAGTCATTCCAGACAGCGTTAAGTCGTTTTGCATCACGCTACTATGGCCAGAAGACCGCATAAAGAGCAAAGGTTTTTACTGGAACTTTCAAACACGTCTAGACAGCAAGCTCATGGTCATTTCTGTAGAACACTTCTTCTCCTGACACCAGACCCTGGTCTTTCATACTGAAACTGCACCAAACAGAAGGAAATTCCAGTATTGACTCTCTCAACCAAGAGACAAGGGGATAAATAGAGAGAAAACGAAGCATCTGCCTCACTGATATCCCTTCAGTCTCCTCACTCCCTCCTGTTAGCTTGGCAGAGGGAAACGAACAGGCGTATGAACTTGACGCAACTGTACGATAGCATCAGTTCCAGAATAAAGCCCTGAAGTAATGGCCTTGGACCAAGTTAAGTTCCCCATGGTGTGGTACTTGCCCTGGAAAGAGAACTTTGCCTTCACCTGGCATGAAGCCATTAAATAGTGCAAGTTTGCCAAGTGCCTCTGTTCCTAAACTCAGAGATCCATGCAGGCGTTTACAACAGTCTTTAACTGGGGATAAGGCCTTTCTTCATGGGTATCATTAAACTTTCACTGTCTCAACATTCCAACGCTTTTGTAGAAGTGAAAGCCATTGGAATACATTACTAATTTTGAAGGTATTAATTAAAAACACTCACTGACTTCAAAAGCATCTTTGAAACAAAAGAATCCTGAACGGCAAGGCAGGATTTGCAGTACCTGATGTCACCAAGTTACATAAATGGACATAAAACCCCGGCAGTGAATTCAGAACTGAAACTATGTTAAAAATACAACAGAACACAGTTCAACTCAGAGGCACTTAAATTTCGATGAAAATTCCTGAAGTCACTCACTGCCTATTTACATTAGAGGAATACTGCAGTTGCACGAAAATATGACTACTTCTGGAGATTCATGCACAACCTACCAACCGGTACCGATCCTGTCCTCAGATGCAAACAAGATGCTCATTAAAATAAAGGTCTGTTGTGCTAGTGAAGTCATCAACAGAAGGGATACTACGTGATGATGGGAAGGCAAACAAACCTGACAGCGCTCTGAGGGGTTGTTTGTTGTTGGGTTTTGGGGCGGGTGTTTTTTAGATACTTAAAAATTAAAATCAATATAGTTATTATTCCTAAATTGTTACTGCCCTTGCTACTTTTTCCCCCTTCGAAGTATCACCACTCTAATATCCAACAGCCACACGCAAGCCATTTTAACGGTTTTCAACCACCTCCATCAATCAATCCTGGGCAAGGATATACCGCTTGGTTTTAGAAGTCTAGAGAGAGACTCAGAATGGGGAATCTCTTCTACACAAAAAGCTGTATAAATAAAGAATCTGAATCTGATCACTTTCATATGCTGCCAGGCTTTGGAAGGATAAATGTTTCCAAGGAGCCGGCGCCTCTGTTTTGGGTAGGAGTGGGTGGAATATTGCAGGATTCCCCTTCCCTCCCCCACTGAAGCAGAATCTGGTCTCTATTAAAGGCATTTCATCTGCAGTTCCACCGTCTGAAATACCATGATTTCACACAGTGTTGCAACTGCTAAAATGATCATTAACACTGATGAGATCCTGTTGCAGGTCTGGCAATTCCAAGTTTTATTGTCCGTGCCAAGCTTAGCAGGAAAGCAAAATTTTAAAAGGGGATCTTCCTCTGCATGCAGAGTAACATACATGAAAATTCACTCAGCACACTTAGGACCCACCTTTCCTAGCTGCCTTATCAAACCCTTCAGGTAGCATCTCTGTAGTGCAACCAAAGGTGCTATCTGACCCATGGAAATGACACAAACAGCACACAGTACAGTTCAGACCGACGTTTTTGTAGCTGTCAGCGACGCAGTTGTCAAAGGCTATAACTGATGAACCCTTTCCAAGCTGACCCAGCATGTGAGCATTGGAAAATTTGATAGAGGTCATAAATGTAACAGACGTCGGAATGCACATTTATGCCTTATTTTCTACTGAGAATTCCACAGGATGATCATGAGCGCCTTATGTCAGTGCTTACTGATTAAAGCTCATTTGATTCTGCCTGAATGCTGCATTAGAATACAACTGCAGTGAAAGTCAGTGAAACAATGAACGGTTCGGAAACCTGACTCCTCCTTAGGAATGCATTGTTAAGTCTAGTCCCACTCTCTCCCTTGCCCTGCCCCAAAAGATCCTGATTTTTAAGCAGTCCTACGAGCCAGAGTGCAATAGCTCATCTGTAAACATTCCAGATATATGCCCAGGACGTCTTCCCCAAACACACAAATTAAAAACTGAAATGTAAAAAACAGTTGTACAACTACAAGTAATTGAGACAAAAATCTCTTGGCTATATGCATTAAACATGTACAGTAGCCTAAAAAATAAAGCATGCATAATTGGATGTACTGCAATTATTAAAAAATGTATTTGACATAACAGATTTGAAGCACCTTTGAAAACATTTTTCATTCTGCTTAAACATAGTTCAAATCATCCACTTCTTCCTTTTTGTAGGTGACCTATGTTTTAGAGCTGGGACAATGACTATTGTTGTTGTAAGAGAAAATGGGTACTGGCAGCTAATAAGGACATCATTTAAAAACAACTGCCTGCTGCCTTATTAAAAGCAAGAGTCTTTTCAGAAGCTATTGAATCCAGCTCCTGTAGCTGGCCAGGGATATTGCTTTCTGTGTCTCGGTGTCACAAGTTCTGATGTCTGTCACGAAGCCCCAGATGCTCAGTATTACCTCAGTCTCACTGTTAATTGAAGGAGTTTTTGCGCAACCAAGCTGAAAATAACTGTTTTCTCCTCTTGGAGGAAAGAGTAAGCCCCACAGAACTCCACAAGTTATTTCAGGAAGCCTTTTTTTGTTTGTTTAAGCCTTCAGCTTCTTCTCTGTGGTAACAGGAGTGGGGAAGGACATGGTAAAGGAAAATACATCAAGAAAATCTTGAAGTAAATTGAGGTCAAGGACATAAGGCCAGGCTTAAAGTTCCTTCTGTGTTGTTAAAATTAAGGCAGGCTGCCACAGGTCTTCATGAACAGCCTTCATTAATTCTACCTTCCTCTTGAACTGAACTTACAAGCAGGTTCCAGCTATGCTGTGACAGAGGCAGCATGACTGAGGTGATCCAGCTGCTGCTCCAAATATCCAGTGGTAGTGAGGCCTTCCAAGGAAGGATTTTACCTTTGCTACAGCTGACACGTGACTTGGGTACATCTGTGTTTGCAAGGACATGCACACCAACCACCCCTTCAAAGTGAGGGATACTATTCTCTCCATCTGCCTCTTCCCCCTCATTCTCATGCTCAGTATCTTCCAGTGGTACTTGGAAGAGAAGAAAGTCTGTCTGATCACCTCCGTTATCAGTTGGGATGCCAGAAGAAAAGTAGCTTAGTAATAACAATAATCAAATTTTCTAAAAACCTGAAGCAGCAGATTGAATATCTTTCCGTTACTAACTTTGTTTCCTAATTCCTTCTCCATCAGTACAGCCTGACTTTACTATAATGAAATGTGATCAAAGTGTTTGTTTTCTCCCTATTCTCTACCTGACCTACAGCCTGCCTTAACTTGCCAACTCCATGTATTACTCGTCCTCTTAGAGCTCTTGCCTTTCTGACATCTCAGAGCAGCTGGTTTCCATTCCCTTTTCTGGCTCCTCTTTTCTTGATCCCAGTAATTTCTGTGCTCATCAAGAAAGAAAAAGATTCAAGACTGCAGGGTCCTAAAGAAGCAAAGATGGGGGAACTACACCAGTGAAACCGAGGACTAAGACTCCCTGCCAGTAAGGAAAAAGGTGAGAGAAAAATAAAACTAGCCTGTACAAGAAAGTAGACTCTGGCATCTGATTAAATTCACTGGTAACGTTTCCCACAGCAAGGGATAGTGAGCTACAAAATTACGTGCCCACAGCTCCCGAAGCCTTTCCTGTGTTCATGAGAAACGTATGGCTCAACAATGTCCCTGTCTGCTATTAAAGTATCCTTTGAGAGATGGCAGCTCTGCAAACAAATGGATCCTTACAGCTTAAGTACCCACAGAAAAGGCCATCTACAGAAAGGAAAAAGGGATTAAAAAAAAAAAATCAGAGAATTCTAATCAAAACTTAAAAAATTAAATTAATTTTTACAAGAGTTAAAACAATGTCATGCACAATTGCAAGATGCAACATTGAACAAACAAACAAAATACACAACATTGTACAAACAGACAAATAAATGGAAACAATCTAAAGTTTTGGGAAAGTACTAACCAGTTACTGACAGCAGCTGTGAAACCCTCACCTCCATTTCCTCCCGATGAGACCTGTCTCTATCCTCGAATTCACGAGTTCTTCGCCGAGCTTCTTCAAAGGCTTGTTGTGCCAATGCATCCTCCTGCTACCAAACAAGATGACACAGAGTGACACAAAAGGCTACCCTCGTTTCTACCAGGTCACATTTCTTCTGAATATTAGGGATCACTTGGTAGCGAAGACAAGCACATCCTGCAGAATCTGCCAGAACACAGACGAGTTCCAGCAAACACCAATAGAGGTTAATAAAATAATACTCACCTTCATTACTGCAGCAAAGATAAACCTGCAAAGCTGCAACAGAGCTACAACTGAAACACATTTTCAAAGGAGAACTGCTTTTCAGAAGTATTTTAAAATGCTGTTGTTGTTTTTTGTTTTTTTTAAGCTAGGAATCCTCAGAAGTTATATGAAAGAGGAGATACATCTTATTCTCCTTATAAAAGTCATTATGAAGACAGTGTTCACAGGTATGTCTAGGTATGAGTTCACTAGCATCATTATCTACATAATGGTGATTTAATTCTATCATTTAAGAAAAGAACTAAGTCACAAACCAAATAAATCCTCCACTTAATCAAAAGCTGCTGAAGGTGCAAGGATGTGAACATTCGTAACCCTTATGTACCACTGAAATAATTCAAATTATAAGCATTAGAAAGTGCAAAGCAGGAGTTATCCTTCCCCTAATCTGTACACGTTCACACAATGCAGAAACCTGCAGGCTTTCAACAGCCCCACTGACTACTTTATTTTCAATAGTGGCTTATGCACAGGAATAGGTTTAAATTAATGTTCAAAAAATCCTTTGAATCATGTTTTCTGACAGAAAAGGTTTTAAATAAAGTGTTGTACATAAGCCATTATTAATTGCATCGCAAACTGTTTCTCTTAAGAGACCTTTTAGCAAATATTCTGCTCAGAATTAAAATAGATAGCTCTGTTCCCCACCAGACTCTTTAAGAGGAGTCAAGTCTGAAGAGGTGCCACAAAACAGCAAGGGATAAACTGTATCGCCTCTCCCTCCTCCTAATGCCTCAGCTGTAATTACTAACAACTCTGCTCAATTCCCACATACACACAAACGCTATTTTCAAAGGCAATAGATTAAAAAAAAAAAAATCCTAACCTTGGCTGTTCTGAGGACAAAAACACGTTGAGAACCTAACTAAGTTTTAATATACCAAGGGATTAAGTGCATAAATTTTTAAATTTCAGATAAAGCTTCTCTAGTCTGAGAGAATGTTAAATTGCCTTTTTTGCCATCGGCACCATCGCGCAGCCTGAAGCTACGCTGTGAAATGATGTGAATGAGTGCCTCCCGTGGCCTAACACAGTTAAATACAAACATCTGTCAGTCAGTGGCTCGGCAGAGCCAGGTCCCCAGAAAGCTACGCTGAAAGGCAATGTTTAAAGCTGCCAATAAGCTAACATTTTAACACTACCTACTGTTTTTAAAAATAGAATTTATCCCTTTACAGCTATCTTAATGTTCACGCAACACATAGCAACCAAGGTCAGAGAGCGGAAAGTAAGTTTGTTCTTCATAATGCAGAAGGATAGAGATAAAATAGACACTTGTCTGCGAGATGACTACAGAAAAGCTGCCTTACTTCTCATTCACAGCAGCTACTTATGTCTTTATTACTTTTTTTAAAAATACAGATGGAAACAAAAGCAGATTTTTATGAAAGATTATTGCATTTTTACCGTGATTTAAAGTCGTCATGAAATACAGAGCTAACATATAGCCTCAGCCAGAGTATTTTAAAGAAATGGTCATAACCAAAAGAAACTGAGTTAGAAATTTGTAGGAGAAGAATCGGTATGTTGACATCCAGAATGAACACATGTTGACAGCTGAAACACTGGTTTACTGATGTCTGATAAAGGGGAACCAAGGAAACAATATGGTCTGATGAACATATTTTTAAGAAAAAGCCACCAATTCTGCTCTACTCTTGGTGATGTGTCACAACAGACATGAACATGTCTCAGGATCTCGTAAAACAAGGAGGTTAACAAATCTTGTTTCAAGTGCCACCCAAATCTAATAATTGCAAATTTGGCTTTACAAAACCAAATCGTTCGTCCATCTTAGTTTTAATCGGTAAAAATGCTCCTGATATGAATCTACTAAAAGGAAGCAGAATAAGCAAAATATGAGCCATAGCAACATGAGAACAGAACAAAACAAACCCCTCAAACCCAGAAAAAACAAGAGGAAAGCTTACACCCCCGACACACATACACCCCCAGTGATCAGCAGCCTGGTAGGAAAAGGCTTTGTGAGAACAACCACTTGTACCTACCAAATCTACACAGCAAGAGCGTGCTACTACAGAAGAGATACTGAGGTAGTGAAGGCAGAAACAGTCTTTGAATGACACTGAAGATAAATGCCAAATCCAGGGAAATTCCAGCCCCAAGCGGGGAAAATATCCAAGCACGTATGTTGAGCTTCATGTGCGTTAGCCCGCTGAAGTATGAACAAGCAGCTGGATCACGACCTCCAGTATCAGAAAGCAAGACTGCTTGGTAGGGAGATGGTAATATGCTGTGAATTAACTAGGAAGAACAGCAGCTCGGACATTAGAATTACAGTACTTCGTTATGCAAGTGGCTTTTCTTCACAAAACATCTTTTGCCTCACTGAAGGACAGTATCGTTTCCAAAGTGTGGCAGTGAAAAAAAATCCCTCTGACCCCACTATTAGTAAGAAGTGGTAAGGGACAGGAAAATGCAAGCGCGTTACATTTGTGTAAGGCAAGCCTCCCAGAAACCCCAAGGAGTGCATCTGGGGGTGTCTGTGTGTGTGCACATGCCAGTAACACCTCTTACTAAAAAAGACAGTGGGCACAGGCACTGCACTGTATAGTGTGAGGCACTTAAACCTGTCCTGGCATCCGTGTTCTTTGGGGATCAAAGTCGGCAGTTAGGACAATTGCCACTAGGAATATTATTAACAGCTGTAAAGAAGGAAGCAAAGTGACAGATACAGGAAAAAGGAAACTGAAGAATGTGAAAGATTGCCCAAATGTTTATAATATTGACACACACATAGAAACCACTATGCAACATCAAGGATGCAGCTACTTCTGTGCCTTAATAGTGCCTTATGACACCGGTAACACTCAGGTACTACTGCTGTAGCAAATAAGATGACTAATGACCTTCTCGTACTCGTTGAGAAGCACAAACTGAAAACAAACTGCATGCCTGTAACCGAGAGCAAGCCTATCTTTGTACAGCCACACTGTGCAATACCTCCAGCTCAGCACCCTGTACTCAAAATCCAAGAAAGCACTGACACCTGAGAGCAGGAAAAAAAAAAAAAAAAATAGAGCACATTCTCAGTGCACAAACACCTCCTGAAGACAACAAAAAGGAACTCTTATGTGTAGTTAAGACACTGTATACACATCAGGGAACTAAAATAATCCAAGAGCATGCAAAAACATTTGTTGGGAAGTTAACAAGAGAAAAATTGAACCCACAGATCCCCTGGCCATCCTCATTTTGGGAAGGGTGTGTTCAGGTGTGTTGAACAGCCCAATTACAGAAAAAGAGTAGCACTATCTCCTGTTGAGCACACGTTCAAATCCGTCTCCTCTCAGTTCAGAAGTCATGTGACAGGGTGTTATGTATCGTTCAGTCACAAATCTTATGCTTTATCTTGCACAATCCTCAGGGGCTACATCTGACCTTGTTTTCTCAGCCATTATAGCCTACGGGCCTTCTAATCAAGGGAGTCTGCAGCAGTTACTTTCCAAAGAAAACACTGCTGCAACAGGAACTCTGCTAGCTCCACCGCCAACACCCAGCTCTGGACGAAGAGAACACCACAGCAAACAGTAGCATTCAAGTAGGAGCTTGGTCCTGTGGCTTTTCTCATGGGCTAACAAAAGGTGGTAGGACTCCCCTCAGAATGGCACAGGAGCCTCTCTTTTCCAGGCATCCTCAAGAAGGCATACAGGGCCGTGACTATTTCAAAGGCACTGTTTTGACACACAGTATTTCTATTTAACCCAGAACACAGTCACAGTAACGTAATTTCATTAAAGTGCAAACCAGTTTCTTAAGTTAGGAAGAGGCAATGCACCACAAAGCCTGCAACTCTACATATTGCCATATAACATTTGATTTGAATACTTCCAGCTCTTGAACAGAAACCAATCAATCAATACGCCCTCCAGTTCTGCACGTCTGGATTAGAGGAGTGCTCTTGGTATTTGGGTAGAATCAAGGGGTTCCCACTTGTTAAACAGCGAGCAACCGTGGCTGTAGAAGACTAAAAGGGAAACCCCAAGGAGGGGAGGGCTGAGAATGAGGCACACAGTGGAAATAGAACTGCACCCTTACTTCAATGATTTCCACTGCACAGCTGCCAGAAGCAACACCCCAGAAGTCACAAAGGGAAAGTGAAGGTAATTTGGAATGTGAATATTAAGTTTTTGCAAAAATCATCCATATGTACAACACACGAGGTGTTACAAAGAAAGACAGAGGAATCACCAGTGTCACATAAACCAGTTCAATTATTCACATAAGCGAGCTGCTTTGGGGCCCTGAGTTTAAGTGAATCAAATGAAGGAGAGAAAGAAAGCTCCAATTTTATTATGCTATCAAGACGAAAGACAGTTACCATTTGGGATACACTGCAGTGGTTCAAACTTAGATTTACAGAAAACTTAATGAAAGTCATGATGGTCTTGAGTGAAAGAATTCTTCAGAGAGAAGTTAGAAGAAAACTGCCACATACAGGTACAGAGTAAATTATTAATAGTAATTTGCTGGAGTACCAATACAGGACTTGGAGGGGAAAAAAAATATAAAAAGCTTCAGGAAATTGCTCACCTTTCTTTTCTCTGCATGCTTAACAGGCCCTTGATTCAGAAGCCCATTCCTTCATGTAATTCTAACATTTCTAAATTATCAAACTACAGAAGTGAACAGCTGTGTTCACCACAAAACACAGATTCTAAGTCTAACTCTGATAACTGATGTTACTACATCCAATCTGCTGTCCACTGCAGAGACAGGTGATGTGTCTGGAAGCCCACACAAACCTGGTGCAGCAGCTTTTAGTATCACTTAAGTAGCTTTGTAACCAAACTACACCTCAAAAGCAAACATCTGTCTCAAGTCTGACCAAATTAAGGAACCCTACAGCTGTGTAAGTGAACTTCACATCTGTGATACGCACTTAAAAAGACATTTCTGCTGTGTTTACTTTGTTCTTGTGCATGTCCAAAGATTCAGCTGCCAGACAGTCACTTTGGTGGCGAGAAGTGGGTAGTTAGGAAGCGAGTTCTCAAAAGCTGCCACACCTTAACAGAGTAGGGTGTACCACTGTTGGAGAACAAATGAAAACCCCCTATCCATACCTCCACCCCCCCAATATGTAATAAGACAAAAAGCTACTTTAAAAACCTCAACCACCCTAAAGTAAAGTAAAGAGCTGGAAGAGACTTGCCAGTTAAATTGTTTCAAGTTACAGACAGAGCTTTTTAAATACTTCAAGATTTATTACTCTGTAGCACAGTAATAGCACTAAATCATCCAACAAAGTTGTGAAATACAGACAATCCCTGTCCCTAATATTTTGATCTAATTAAAACACTAGTTTAGCTACAACCACGTATTTCTCAACTCCTATACTGTAAATTTCCTCTGGAATTTGTACTCAAAGTGAAGACAGAAAACATGCAAATTAGAATGTGTGATCGCTCCCTGACTATGTGTTTCCTTCCGGAAGAACAAACGAATGTGTAAGACACAGCAGCCGTGGGAAGACTGTCTTACCTGTGCTCTCTCTTCGTCAAATTCCAGGCAGCCCATGCCATCCAGTCTCTGTAGATCTATCCAGCCTTTCCAGATTACACAGACACCGTTGAGAATCATAGGTGCCTTCAAGTACACCTGAAATAAAAGCAAACCACACGCGATGAATTTGAAAGTATTTACACACATGCCTGCACAATGAAAATACTGATGCAGGAAGCTTCTATATGTATTCTTAGAAGAACATCCAAACCAGCTGGTAACATGAGACTCCACTTAACAGCTTCTTCTGCCTCCTTTCCAAGAACTCATTTTAATCAAGTGACTGCTGTAACTCTTGCCTACTGTACTGGATAAATTTCAGATGTGTTCTCATTTTATAAACTGGCACGCATCAGGATTTGGTTAGAATTCAGTTACTGCTTTCAGTTAAAGTAACTGTTTTTCTTGTCAGCTTACCTTCATGTCACAAAGAAAGTGGCACGCCGCCAGACAGGGAAGATCCTTTAAACAGCATGTTTAAATGGTTAAATGAACACATGCTTTCCTACTCCTGAGAAGCACTATATTTTACCCCAGTCCATGAGCTCTTTCAACAAAAAACAAGCACCAGTTTCAGTCCTCTCCAAATTTACAAACTAGTCACTTTAGTAAAATACACTATATACATACTATGGTAAAAACAAATTTTTTTCTGTGTCTATTCTAGCATTTGTGAAAGGCTTTTCAAAAGCAGCAAGACCAGATGATCACATCCCATCTACAGCAGAGTGCCCTGAGCTGCCATGAGGAATAGCGTGTGAGCATTACAGATGGAGATGCTATAGTGATTTAAAGCAGAAGTATTTCCCCTTCTAAAGACCAGAGATTAATCCCCACACAGGAAATTTAAAAAGAGGCAAATACAACACTAAATGAGTTTGACACTCTATATTTAATGACAGCAGCCTTAAATAAAAAACCACCAGCACAATTACCTAAATTGCGATGAAAATCAACCCCCAGTAGTTATTTCAGCCTACTTGGCAAGTCAAACCCCTCCTGGAACAGACGTTTGTCTATGCCGAATTGTCACAGAGGCAAAGTGTGCACCCACTTCAGATTTAAATGCTGCCTAGATAGTCAAAATCCTGTCGAGTCTTTTTGGTCCTCAGGGGTGGCCCAGCTAAGTACGGTAATTTTCGCACAGCGCCTCCTTTAACAGCTCTACATTCGTCCCTGGCAAATCCTCAGCAAAGCATAACTGATCTTTAGTGCTAAAGCACACTTCAAAGTGCCCCGACTGTGCCTACCTGCTCAGTTCCACTCTTACCAGCTAGGGTTGCTCAAGCAGAAAAAGGCAAAGGAAAGATACAGAGGTACAGAAGAAATCCTTATGTAAAGGCCATCTTGGTAAAATTAAGCATTCAACATCATGAAAGTTAATCCCCGAGTGGAAGATGGTGAACAAATAACACGAAACCAACTGACAAACACCTAATGTAATCTGCCAAAGAAAATACGTATTTGATCTCTCGGCATGATTTTTACAACTTATCACACTTAGTATGAAGCAACATACTGTCCAAGTTCTAATTAGTACAATATGCAGTAGCTGGACAATGAAGAAATAAAGATTAGTTCAATCATATCTTCTCTGTATCAGCTCTCCTACTGCAGGGTCTCCACTAAGAAGAGCACAGACTGTTTTTTAGTCCTTGTACTCACAGACTAGCTATGCCAGTCATCACACCTATGTCTTCCGTGATGACAGCACACTATGTGCAGATCTACCGGTCAACAGCCTTTGCGAGCAGAGGCGTCAGAACCAGCATGAGTAAGATGTGGACTACCAGGAAACCACCTCCCACAGCCCTCATTTCAAGATTAATCATTTCAAACATACTAAATACAACATTACTCCCTTTCAGCAGTCTTCACTCATTCATCTCACAAGAAATAAACGAGGTATGCACCACCAATTTAATAAATGTGTTTAGCTGGGGGAGACTTTTTACAAGGGCTTGTAGTGACAAGACAAGGGGTAACAGGTTTAAATTGAAAGTGGAGAGGTTTAGATTAGATATCAGGAAGAAATTCTTCCTGGAGAGGCTGGTGAGGCACTGGAACAGGTTGCCCAGAGAAGCTGTGGATGCCCCATCCCTGAAAGTGTTCAAGGCCAGGCTGGATGAGGCTTGAAGCAACCTGGTCTAGTGGAAGGTGTCCCTGCCCATGGCAGGGGGGCTGGAACTGGATGGTCTTTAAGGTCCCTTCCGACCCAAACCATTCTGTGATTCTGAGTTTAGAAGTGAAAGAGTTAGAGGTTATTAGAATCAAAAGTCATTCTCTTCTAAGAAGAATACAGAATAATTCAGAAGGGAGGGGGAAAAAAAAAAAGGCAACATAACCTAACTGTGGGTTTGTAAAGACAAAATTGTCTGTACTTATGCTAATCACTTTTTGCAGAAGCAAACCAGCATTTTGCTGGACTTCAGGTTTTACCTTTCACCTAACCTCCCCAATCCTTCTGGCCCCCAACAAAAGCCTGGGACATCAAAAGTTCCGTAGGACTTCCCAAGGATAAAAAAACCTAGCTTATCAAGTTATTCAGAACCAGTGTAGGTTTTCTCTCTTTGACTAGGAATATTAGGCTGCCACTGCCTGCCTTGTTTCAGTGGCTGTAGCAGCTGCTAGTGCATTACACGCAGACTCCATAGCTCAGTGCAGTAGGTAGCTCAGATGGAGCTGCTGAAGGCACAGGACTGCACACACAATGCCTGATGCATCACCTGGAAGCCTGAACAGTGCTGGGAATTCCGTGAAAAGTCTTCAGAAGTCAAAGGGGAAGAGAGAAACAAGTGGACAGCGCCGATGTGATTACTGATGCCTACTATCTGCCCTAAGCACTCTGACCAACAGCTGAGCTGCTGACAAAGCAGCTTGTGAGCCACTGGCACGCGGCCTGACCTTTCCAGATAAAGTACTGCCTTGGCTCTGGAATCAGAGCCCTTAAAGCCCTGCTCCACTGGATTCAGTAGGTCTTCATTTCTACCAACATCAACACTCGGATAATAAACATTTTTCACCTCTGAAAGAATGAATTCCTTAGCTAGATATTAGAGTTTTGAAATCACTACACAATCATTCAGAATTTGTATAATTCATACTGAAGCCACATGCGCCTATGTAGGAACTTTTTTCTCTCATTAAAACACACAATAAAGCATACTGGTGCTTTTTCCCTTATTTTAGGGAAAGGAATTTAGACTCCCTTTCCCCCTCTCCTCTAACTGGAGAATGGAAACCACCTAAGACTGCAGCCAAAACGGTTTAACCACATATTTCCTTCTTTTCAGATAAAGCCATGGTGGTTCCCTCTCAATTTCCAAACTTAACAGAATATTAATAAATTACTGCTCTTGTCTATGAACACACAATCTGTTACTGCGCCTCAAAAACCAGCACAAAGCTGTCTTAAAAACTCTCAGAACTCTCTATACGGAAAGTTTCCTTAAGACAGTCACAGTAAGACAGCAAAGGCAAATGCCACATTACTTCTATAAACACCCCAACATTCCCACCTTAATATTACTGAGCTATACAATTTGATTAAAAGTAGATAAAGGGATGTCTTTGAGTAACTATTTCAAGGTTTTGTTGCTAAACCCCAGATTAACGGCATTTCTGTAATTTTTTAAATGTTCACGCCCCAAGTGCTTTCCATAATAATGTCTGGAAGTCACTCTTGGAAGAGGACGGTTGCTTCAGCGAAAAGCACTGGAGAGCAGTAGGAAGTAGGAGAGGTTGGAAGGCAGGCAATTACAAATTTTGTATTCTGTGAAAGAAACACCATTATGGGGATACAAGAGGAAAACATGTATTATACGGCTGCCTCCTTTCAGAGAGCAATCCATGCTATAAACCAAACAAGGCACGGCTTTTCTGACTGTACCTGGCTGTGTAGCTAAGTTAAGCATTATTATACATGTTGAAGGTGGAGAGCAAGTTCTCCCTCATTTTCCACACGCTGGCACAGCCAAAGCTGATCAGTTTGTTAGATTCTGAGACCTAGGTAAATTGTCAGATGCCGAAATCTGCAATTTTTACTAGCTTATACAAGCTGAATTTTTGTACAGTTGGCTGTTACACAAAAGTTTCATTTCACCTCAAACTACATCTTCCATTTCAAACTCCTACTACAAATTAATGTAGCACTAGAGGTTTTCAAATGAGAAAAGTAGGCATGTTACTTTTACATTGGAAACTGGCTTCTAGTGTTGAAGAAATACTTCTGGTTGCTGACTGAAAAGCCAGCAAGAGTAAACACTCTTATCTCCTGGCAGATTATCTGGATAGAGGATGAACAGCAGCATAAACACACAAACACAACTTGAGAAGGTGCACACGAGGCTCTAAGCTGTTGAGCTGTGTTTGTGCTTTCTCAGCCTACCAGTTGGCTTAATCTCAGAGTCCTCTGTGCCACACCTTCCATATACAGAGTGTCTCACCTTCTTTTGGTACTCTTTCAACTCATCTGTTACTTCTTTTCACCTGCATTTAAATGAGCAACCCTCCCCTCCAACTAACTGGGAGTTAGCTTTGTTGTTAAACACAGGCAGGGACAGGGCTCCTGGAACACCACTCATTTGTAGCTGAAAACCCAAACTTGATTTGAATATAGTGAAGCAGACAGAGGACAATTCTCAATGACTTTAAAAAAAAAAAAAAAGCTGCTTTACTTGAGCACAAGACGCAAAACCTCAGTTTCACATCCTATTTCAGCCCTCTAGTAAATCCTTATCTCGCAACACCAGGGTATTTAACTGATGTGCTAGAGCGATGCTATCTGCGTGCTCCATCCACACATCCTGCAGTTACAGAAGATGTTCCTTTTCCCTAAAGCAAGGGAGGCATTTCCTCCCCCAGCGCTGCACACAGCTCTCGCCACCCACTGACTCGTGAATCAGCACGCTCGCAACAGCCGCCGCGGGACGGGCCGACTTCACCCCCCAGGAAACACCAGTCCCCAGTGAAGTGGCACAGTCTCTCCCTCGTGTTTTCGTTTTCCCAGCAGACGGGAGCAAAACGCATTCTTTCATGAGCGGCTCAGCTCTGACTCACCGCCTGCCTCATCGCACACACGTCTGCCCATTCATAAC